CATGGAGGGACGCACAGACCTCTACATGCTAGACAGTGGCACTCTGACTGCCATTGGGTATCTGGATGAAATCTTTGGACCCATTGTCATACCCTACTCTGGTGTAGTGTGTCCTGGGTTCCTCCTAGTGCACGACAATGCCCTTGTGGCGAGAGTATGCAGTTAGTTCCTGGAGGATGAAGAAATTGATACCATTGAATGGCCCCCACGCTCGCCTGACCTAAATCCAATAGAACATCTCTGGGATATCATGTTTGGTCCATCTGACGCCGCCAGGTTGCACCTCAGGCTGCCCAGGAGTTCAGTGAAGCCCTGGTCCAGATCTGGGAGGAAATACCCCAGGACAGGACACATTAGAAGCATGCCCTTACGTTGTCAGGCATGCATACAAGCACATGGGGGCCATACAAACTACTGAGGACCATTTTGAGTTACTGTAATTAAACTTCAGCAAAATGGACTAGCCTGCTGCATAATTTTTTCACTTTGATTTTCGGGGTGTCTTTGAATTCAGTCCTCTGTAGGCTGATAATTTTCATTTTCATCAAACGATGGGGCATCCTTACGTTCCTAACACATGAGATCTGATGTGTTTTCAAAGTGTTCCTTTAAGTTTTTTGAGCAGTGTATTAACGACATACAAAGCCATCCACAACCCTGCTCCCAGCTACATCACCAACCTTATCTGAAATTGTCAACCACTTTGCCGCTCACAAGACCACCTCCTTCATCACCTCCTCCCATGCTCATGTTCAGATCTTCAGAGCCTCTTCCATCCTTTGGAACCCCCTACCCCAGTCAATCCCACTATCTCCTACTCTGTCTGCTTTTAGGTCTCTTGGTGTTCCCTGAAAACTCATCTCTAGCTAATAACTGAATTTTACCATCTTAATCAGCCCATCTCCGCACAGCTACTACCTTTTTATCACTTTCTCTTCCCTTTTAGATTGCAAGCTCTCATGAGCAGGGCCCCCTAACCCTCTTGTTTTGAACTGTATTGTAACTGTACTGTCTACCTTTATTTTGTAAAGAACTCTGCACATTTCTGGTGCAATATACACTTAGGTCCATATATTTTTGGACACTGGCACAATTTTAGTTTTTTTTTTCAGATATTTACCAAAACATATTCAAGCTATAGACATATAATGGATATGAGCTGAAAGTGCACAATCTCAGGTTTAATTTGAGGGTATGTACATCCAAATTGTAGGAAGGGTTTAGGAATTACAGCTCTTAAGAGCAGCAATCCCCCCTTTTTCAAGGGACCAAAAGTAATTGGACAATTGAATCAAAAGCTGTTTCATGGCCAGGTGTGGGCTACTCCGTTATTTCTTCATCAGTTAAGCAGGTAAAAGGTCTGGAGTTGGTTTGAAGTTTGGTATTTGCATTTGGAATCTATTGCTGTGAACCTACATAATGCATTCAAAGGAGCTGTCCATGCAAGTGAAAGAGGCCATTGTAAGGCTTCAAAAATAAAACAAATCCTTCAGAGAGATAGCAGCAACATTAGGAGTGGCCAAATCAACAGTTTGGTACATTCTGAGGAAAAAAGAACGCACTGGTGAGCTCAGCAACATAAAAAAAGGCATGGACGTCCATGGAAGACAACAGTGTTAGATTATAGCAGGATCCTCTCTATGGTAAAGACAAACCCATTCACAACATCCAGACAAGTGAAGAACACTCTCCAGGAGGTGGGCGTACCATTGTCAAAGTCTACAATCAAGAGAAGACTTCACAAGAGTAAATACAGAGGGTTCACCACAAGGTGCAAACCACTCATAAGCCTGAAGAATAGAAAAGCCAGATTAGACTTTACCAAAAAACATCTAAAAAAGCCAGACCAGTTCTGGAAAAGCATTCTTTGTACGGATGAAACTAAGATGAATATGTACCAGAATGACGGGAAGAAAAAAGTGTAGAGAAGGCTTGGTACAGCTCATGATCCAAAGCACACAACGTCATCTGTAAAACATGGTGGAGGCAGTGTGATGGCATGGGCATGCATGGCTTCCAGTGGCACTGGGTCAGTGGTGTTTATTGATGATGTGACAGAAGCACCCGGATGAATTCTGCATTGTTTAGAGATATTCTGTCAGCCCAGATTCAGCCAAATGCAGCAAAGTTGATTGGACAGCACTTCACAGTACAGATGGACAATGATCCAAAACACACTGCAAAAGCAACTCAGGAGCTTACGAAGGAAAAGAAGTGGAATATTCTGCAATGGCCAAGTCTGTCACCTGATCTCAACCCAATTGAGCATGCATTTCACTTGCTGAAGGCAAAACTAAAAGCAGAAAGGCCCACAAATAAAGAACTGAAGACAGCTGGCAGAGCACCAGAAAGGAGGAAACCCAGTCTTTGGTAATGTCCATGGGTTCCAGACTTCAGGCAGCCATTGCCAGTAAAGGATTCTTGTCAAAATATGAAAAATGAACATTTTATTTATGATTATATTCATTTGTCCAATTACATTTGAGCCCCTGAAAATGGAGGGACTGAGTATAAAAATGGTTGCAGTTCCTAAAATTTGTACTTGATAATTATGTTCAACCCCTTGAATTAAAGCTGAAAATCGGGGTGAGATCTTGCGTGGAGCCCCAGATCGAGGGAGATGATCAGTGGTCTTGTATGTCTTTCCATTTTCTAATTATTGCTTCCACAGTTGATTTGTTCACACCAAGCTGCTTGCCTATTGCAGATTCAGTCTTCCCAGCCCGGTGCAGGTCTACAATTTTGTTTCTGGTGTCCTTCGATAGCTCTTTAGTCTTCACCATAGTGGAGTTTGGAGTGTGACTGTTTGAGGTTGTGGACAGGTGTCTTTTATACTAATAACAAGTTCAAACAGGTGCCATTGATACAGGTAATGAGTGCAGGACAGAGGAGCCTCTTAAAGAAGAAGGTACAGGTCTGTGAGAGCCAGAAATCTTGCTTGTTTGTAGGTGACCAAATACTTATTTTCCACCATAATTTGCAAATAAATTCTTTCCAAATCAGCCAATGTGATTGTCTGGATTTGTTTTCTCATTTTGTCTCTCATAGTTGAGGTCTACCTATGATGCCAATTACAGGCCTCTCTCATCTTTTTAAGTGGGAGAACTTGCACAATTGGTGGCTGACTAAATACTTTTTTGCCCCACTGTACAGAGCCAAAAGTATGACAGTTGTGCCTGTGTCCATATATATATGGATCTAACTGTAAATCCTGAATAATAATAGAGAGCTTGAAGGTTGCAGCGGGGTCCAATAGACACCACAGGCTCTAAGTTTCTGCCTAGGTTGTCTTGGTGATGATCCGACTATGGTATAGTGTTTCTAAAAAGATTTGCTTTTGTAGTATTTACCCGTAAAGTACTTTTTTAAGATGACATTCAAATTTTTTAAATTCTTGTTATTCTACATCCAGTTTGTTATTGATTTGAAATATTGTAATTTGTAGATTAACTATTAGAGGTTCAGCTTAGTATACACTCACTCCACTCTCACTCCAACAAGATAAGATATCAAGCACACTGGCAATGAATGGGTTTCAGTCGGTCGATAATTTCTAAAACAGCACATAGATGATTCGATGTGCTTTCCTTCCACTACAGCTGGAAGGAAAGAAAATAGCTTGATTTCCCCAATAAACAGTCAGTGTTGACAGGGGAATACCTCCTGCAGCACTAGCGTGTTCTTTCAGGGGGGAGGAGCCTTCCTGGCTGGCAGAACACTATGATTATTGCTGGCGGTTATAGTTGCCGACCGTAATAGAATGCCAAAAATCCGACAGGCTGGTTGATTCATGGATTGACCTGGGTACCATAAGCCTGTCCATAGATGGATAGGATCTTGGCCAGTCCCTGCTGAACCCAACATGTATGGCCGGCTTAATGCTAGCCGTACACAGCTCAATTCCTGATGAATTGGCTAAAACTCGAGCCATCAGTGGCCCTGTTGGCATGACCTTGCTCAATAAACTTCACTCTGAAAATAAAAGGTGCTCAGGGGAAATTTCTCAGCTAAACATTGACTTCAGCCAGTTAGACGTAGTCACTGTTTGGGTAATATGACAGCCATGGGAGCTCTTAAATTATATTTAAAAAAATAGTTAAGATGATGCATTCTTTTTAAACGGGAATCAGAGAGAGTTCAGGAGGCGGCTGACTTTGGCTAGCAATTGGGTGGGGAGTGGGAGCTTCCACTGATAACAATAATCATTTCTACTGTCACCTTAACTGTTATGCACACTCTGGAGTTGGGTGACATTATGAGAACAAGTAGTTGACAAGGCAGCATCTGTCAAACTTCAAATGACCCCTCACATTGATGGATCCCATCCACCCCCCCCACCCCCCATCCCCCCCACCATCCCTACCACACCACCCCCATCCCCCACCACCCACCCCCCCACCCCCACCATCCCCCACCCCCACCATCCCCACCACCACCATCCCCACCACACCACCACCACCCCCACCACACCACCACCACCCCCCCACCCACCACCCATCCCCACCACCACCATCCCCCCACCACACACCATCCCCATCCCCACCACCACCACCACTACCACCCCCAATCCTCTGCCATTTTTTTTTTATTTTTTTTTTTAGTGGACCGGTTCAGACCCAGAGGTAGGCAGGTGTAAATGGGCACAAGTCCGTTTACACCCACCTGTCCATAGAAACGCATGGACCTTCCGATCAATCATGTTTGCCTGAAAATCTGGCAATTGGACCTGATCGGATTGCCCTTGTAAAAGGGGCCTAAGGCTTTTACAGTTATGATTTCTGACATTGAGATGATGCTTCCCTGGAATTAGGCTGTCAGTAGGGCTGCCTGTCATTTCCTCCCCTCCGTTGACATAAACTCACCTTGGTGTACTTTGCCGGTACGTCTGTGGATATATTGTGTAGAATAAAATTTTTGTATGATTGGGTCACACCTTCCCTTCTAAATGCAGCTCTTATCTATGAACAGCTTTACAGCTATAATTTTTTTTTTTTTTGCAGGGAGAGGAGACATTCAGCCCCAGCTGGACAGTGCCCTGCAGGATGTCAATGATAAATATTTACTACTGGAAGAAACAGAGAAGCAGAAGCAGGCGGTGAGGAAAGCCCTGATCGAAGAACGCAGCCGCTTCTGCTCCTTTATCTCCATGCTGCGGCCTGTCATCGTAAGTCCTCATCATGTTGGATTTTATGCACACAGACACGGTGTAATCCTATTTCTTCCATTCACGAGAGCAGAACAGAGAGGAGATGTCTTCTGTCATGTGAACCTATTCCAAATTGAATGAAAAAGAACAATGGTGTGCCAGCTTTTATATTATTGCGGATGAGAGTTCAGTTTAGGGATGCCTCTTCTTCTTCTTCTTTTATAACTCTTTCTAATGAGAGATTGAAAGCCGAACTCCAGGCACACAGCTAAACACACAGATGAATATACATATATGGGAGCAGTTTGTATTTCTGTCCATCCAGTCCTGAGTTTTACATAGCTCTGTTGCACAGCATAACCCTGTGTGGCAGAGCAGGAGACCTGATTTTTCTCTGCTGCAATTAGGCAACATTTTCAGGTCTTGTCCCTCCCGCAGCCTGAAAGGAGAAGCAGCAGACTGATGAGCTCATCTTTCTTTCACTCTGCTCTCTTCTCCCCTAGTTCAGATAGCTCATGAGCACTACAGTACAGTACAACTGACTCTTTGTGCTGCTTCTCCCTCTCCCAGTCAGAGCTCTGCTATACAGGGACTGGAAGAGGCTGGCACCAGGTCACATTCAGGTACTTGCACTGCTTGTGTTAAAAAAAAAAAAATTATCTATTTATCTCTAGCTATCTCTTTCTACCTATCTATCTATCTATCTATCTATCTATCTATCTACAGTTGCAAGAAAAAGTATGTGAACCCCTTGGGATTACGTGGAGTTTTGCATGAATTGGGCATAAAATGTGCTCTGAATGTCATCTAAGTCACAACAATAGAAGAACACAGTCTGCTGAACATAATACTACACAAACATTAGATGTTGCCATGGTTTAATTGCACATAACATGTAAACATTCACAGTGCAGGGAGGAAAAAGTATGTGAGGCCCTAGCTTAATGACTTCTCCAGAGCTAATTGTTGCCAGGAGTGAGCCAACCTTGACTCCAATCAGTGTGATGATATTGGATGTGTTGCTGACAGCTGTCCTGCCCTTAAACACACATCTGCTTTGGGTATACTGGTTTCAAGAAGCACTGTCTCATGTGAACCATGCCTCGCAGAAAAGAGCTCTCAGAAGACCTACGATCAAGAATTGTTGACTTGCATGAAGCTGGAAAGGGTTACAAAAGTATCTCCAAAAGCCTTGATGTTCATGTGTCCACGGTAAGACAGACTGTCTACAAATGGAGAAAGTTTAGCACTGTTGCTACTCTCCCTAGGCGTGGTCATCCTGTAAAAATGACTGCAAGAGCACAGCGCAGAATGCTCCTTGAGGTAAAGAAGAATCCCAAGTGTGTCAGCTAAAGACCTACAGAAATCTCTGGCACATGCTAACATTTTTGTTGGCACATCTACAATAAGGAAAACATTAAACAAGAATGGAGTACATGGGAGGACACCACGGAGGAAGCCATTGCTGTCCAAAAAGAATATTGCAGCATGTTTGAAGTTTGCACAAAAAAAGCACCTGGATGTTCCACAGCACTACTGGCAAAATATACTGTGGACAGATGAAACCAAGATTGAGTTGTTGGGAAGAACACAAAACACTATGTGTGGAGAAAAAAAGGCACAGCACACCAACATCAAAACCTCATCCCCACTGTAAAACATGGCGGAGGGAGCATCATGGTTTGGGGCTGCTTTGCTGCCTCAGGGCCTGGAAGGATTGTTGTCATTGATGGGAAAATGAATTCCAGAGTTTATCAAGACATTTTGCAGGAAAACGTACGACCATCTGTCCGCCAACTGAAGCTCCGCAGAGGATGGGTGATGCAACAGGACAATGACCCAAAGCATACAAGTAATTCAACAAAACAATGTCTGCAACAGCACAGAATACGCCTTCTGGAGTGGCCCAGTCAGAGTCCTGACCTCAACCCGATTGAAATGCTGTGGCATGACCTTAAGAGTACGATTCACACCAGACATCCCAAGAATATTGCTACACTGAAACAGTTTGCCAAAGGAGGGTCAACCAGTTATTAAGTCCAAAGGTTCACATACTTTTTCCTCCCTGCACTGTGAATGTTTACATGTTATGTGCAATTAAAACCATGGCAACATCTAATGTTTGTGTAGTATTATGTTCAGCAGACTGTGTTTCTTCTATTGTTGTGACTTAGATGACGTTCAGAGCACATTTTATGCCCAATTCATGCAAAACTCCATGTAATCCCAAGGGGTTCACATACTTTTCTTGCAACTATATCTATCTATCTATCTATCTATCTATCTATCTATCTATCTATCTATCTATCTATCTATCTATCTATCTATCTCTCCCTCTCGCCATCTCTCCATCTCTCCCTCTCTCTATATCTCCCTCTCTCTATCTCTCCATCTCTCTATCTATCTCTCTATCTGTCTGTCTGTCTGTCTATCAGTCTATCTATCTATCTATCTATCAGTCTATCTATCTATCTATCTATCTATCTATCTATCTTTCTATCTTCATTATTCTATATATATCTATATTCTGTATATATATCAGTGGAGTGCTTTGATTCTGGACAAAGCAGAGTCCAGACATGTTCCCGTCCACAGGCAATAAGGTAAATAGATCAATATGTAGCACCTTACCTTTATTCCGATGCTGATACGCTATCCTCTCCTTCCACAGGAAGAGGAAATCTCCATGCTGGGGGAGATCACCCATTTACAGACAATATCTGAAGACCTGAAGACTCTCACCATGGATCCCCACAAACTTCCCTCTGCCAGTGAGCAGGTTGGTACAGAGATGACCAGAAATATCATATATTGCAATATGACAGCATTACAAAATCAGCTTCATAACAGAAGGAGTAGAAGGTGGTCATTGGCCTTTAATGAAGACATAGAGAGATGGCATACATTTTCTGTGTAGTACAGTATACAATGAAAGCCAGATTATTAGCATTGTTGGACTGTCATATTTTGTTGCCAGCACCCATAAGGTCATATTTATTGGTGGAGAAAGAATGGTGACGGGTGATCTGTATTTCTGTTGGCAGCCAGACAGTCAGATATCTCCTTTCCAGTGCAATGTGGGGAAAATTATTATTATACAGTATTTATAAAGCGCCAATAGTTCGCTCAGCGCTGTACATTACAAAGGGGGACAGAACATGTGACAGAACAATACCAATACAATGCAAAAACATGAGGGGATTGAGGGCCCTGCTCTTCCGAGCTTACAATCTAGGATATCTAGTTGATATGGATAATAGGAGCAGTGATGAGCTTGCGTGTGCTCGGGCTAGAAACTGAACCCACGCGTGTGAGCCCACCAGGAAGCTGTGACGTGTACAGGTTGATCATTTGTGGCCAGGGCACTCCCCATCCCACCGCTGCCTGTATACACAACCCTTGTATACATGCGGGGCAGAGAATGCTTCCACGGTAGATGATTGACCCCCACTGGTGGTGCTGTGCTCAAACATGGGGTCAGATCCTAGTCAGAACACACCCAAGCCCATCACTAAACAAATTCCCCATCAAGGACATGCTAATAAACACAAACCTTTCCTTTCCGAGCCTGAAGTTGACACTTTGTGCAGCTGCTGGCTCCCAGTCTCTGCTGCCAATCACAGTGCTTCCTGATCATGTGGTCACTGTCAGCTCTGAAATCAGATCAGATGCAAACTGAAGGCTTCATCGTCAGAAATGAAAGACTTCAGCTTCCAGATGAACATTGCCACCTTCAGACAGCATACATCTACAGTGCCTTCCATTTATTGTCAGCTCCAATTCCACTATTGAAAATAACAATTATACTTTAGTTTCTTTTGAGATTGAATAAATCTTTATATACTTTTGGTGTTAATGGAGGGAATAATGGCAAACCCTGATGTCAGCAGATGCAATTCCAATATGTAAAATATAGTTGTAGTCTCCAGTGTTAATAAAGAAGGCAACTGGAGGTTTCGGTGAAATGCATTTTAGACCACATAGCCATTTTGGTTCTTGTTCTGTGCTGTGAATTTTCTGTTTTGTTTTTGTTTTCTTTTTTTGTGATAATTCTTGGTAAATCAGCCTCCTAGTGTAAGTTAAACAGCTGATTAAAGCTAGCTATAGACTGTTTGGATCTCGGCCAGTTCAGCAGGGTCCAGCCAAGATTTGAACCATCTATGGGCAGGCTGAATGTACCCAAGTTGATCAATCAACTTGGGTACAACTGGCCTGTCGGATTTTACATGCAATTATTGCTATCAGTAATCACTGTGCTCTCCCGGCAAGGGTGCTTCCTCCGCCCCCACATCGTGAGAACACAATGACTCCACGAGAGGGATTCCCCCATCATGAAGGTAAAAAAAAAACCTTCTGTGTGTAGCAGCCCCCCCTAACACTTACCTAAGCCTCCCCTCGATCCAGCAATGTTCACGAGAGCCTCGGTTCTCCAGGAACTCTCTCTTCTGATTGGCTGAGGCCATTGGCTCCCACTACTGTAAGTCACAGCCAGTAAGCCAATCAGGAGAGGGAGGGGGGCGAGCCTCAACTTTGTATGTGAATGGACACACAGAGCCCTGGCTCAGTAACACGCCTGCTGTGTTGCCCCCATAGCGAGCTGTTGGCTATGGGGGCACCCGACAGGAGGGAGGGGCCAAGAGCGCCATTGGGAAACTCGAGAAGAGGAGGATCCAGGCTGCTCTGTGCAAAACCATTACACAGAGCAGATAAGTAGGACATGTTTGGCATTTTTAGAATAAAAAAACTAGACTTTAGTGTGACTTTAATTTGCAACTGTGAGAGCTCATGTGATTTCTGACGCTCAAGTCTTATGCTGAAGAACATGACTCAGACATCAGTGATGTATATTTAAATTATGTATTCCTTAAAAGTATTAAATAGTTGTTTGTCTTATTAACATCCTGTAACCCCCCCCCCCCCCAAGGGAACACAGGGTGAGTATGAGCCAATGAAATTCTAGTGCATTGTGCAGTGCTGTCAGTCTAACAAAGAGAGCTTATTGATAGGAGAAAAGAGACTAGGGTTGACCCCACCAATGTGCTATTGTTCTCTCACTATCCAAATATAGGATGAGCGTGTAAAGTGAATTCATGGTTGTTTGTAAGGTGGGGAGGTGATATGAAGACCTGCTGAAAAGCTTACACGAGCCTGGCGTCTTGTTTTGATTTTAGACTGATTATTCCGAATCTTGCATTACCCCAACTGTTACCTATAGATACTGTTCCTCCTGTAGGCCTGACATCTTATTTGATCTCTGCTCTTTAAACAGGTGATCCATGATTTGAAGGGCTCAGACTATAACTGGTCTTATCAGACCCCTCCATCCTCTCCCAGTACCACCATGTCTCGCAAGTCCAGCGTCTGCAGGTAAGTCCCTGTGTTCACTGCCTGTCTGGAATATGTTTGCCAAAGACGGCAACTGAGGTCAAGTGGAAACCCCCACCATCCTTATTCAGCTGAAAAATTCCTATTATATAAAAGTCCTTGAAGACAGGCAGACATCAATTTTGCAGTGTTTATTATTACAGATTTTATCTGATCCCAACAGGCCAGCATTGGCTACCTTATATAATGCCACATACACTATATGGCCAAAAGTATGTTGGGAGCCTTCCAAATGTGTGGGTTCAGGTGCTTCTAGTTCAGGGTACGGTTTATGCTACAGCATACAAAGATATTTTAGATAACTGTCCACTTCCAACCTTATGGTAACAGTTTGGGGGATGTCTTTCTAATCCAGTGTGACTGAAAAAAGATAGACTTTAGAATCAATTTAATGCCCATGGCTTTGTAATGAAATGTTGATAAGCCCATATAGGTGTGATGGTCTAGAGTCCACACACTTTTGGCTATATAGTGTACTTCATGTTTATTATGTAATCTTCCATATTACAGTCTGCAAAATATTAAAAGTGTATCATATATATAAAGACCAGCTCAGCTCTAACGGTACAACGATGCTTTTATTGAAATAACCTTTATATAACTGGTCATCGTTTTCACACTTTTCCATAGCAGCCAATATGCAGTGCAGGACCTGGTGCCCTGAAAAATATTATGTATGCCCATATTCTCTCCTACATGATGTAGAGGCGCATTCTGTATTTAAATTTATGGAAAACTCACCAAAAATAATATAGTTAGCCTGTCCAACTGCACTGGTGAAAGGTAGTTCCCCTGCTGACTGGAGGGGAAGACCCAACAGAGGAATGAATTGGATTTATGGCCAGTTCACACTACAAAAATGCATTCCGGATACGTGTTTGCTTACAGTTCACACCACATGCAGTTCCAGTGCAGTTTTGATGCAATTTGCCATATTCCAGTATGATTCTGTGCAGAAAAATGCTCTACTTTTTTTTTTTTCTGCACTGGAACTGACTGCACTAGTGTGAACTAGGGCCATTAGAATACATGGAAAACACTGTGCATGCATTTTTGATGCAGGAAAAAAAGCGCACTGAACTGCATCTGGTGTGAACTAGTCCTTACTCTTTAAAGCACATCTCTGGGATTTTTGTATAAAACTATCCATGCAGTGCGCTCCAACTCAACCCCCCCTTCCCACCCACGTAGGGTTAACTGCTCCATGATCTAGGGGTAGAGGAACATGCTGTAACCCAAATTTCTTGCTTATTCCTCGAATAAGGTGGAAGCCTGCTGGAGTGGAACAAGGAATAAGGTAAAGTTTTTTTTTTTTTTTTTTTTTTTTTTTTTCCATTTGAGCAGAACAGATTTTTCCATCCACACAGATGAGGTGAATGGAGAAATCCCCCCTTTAAGGGACATTGATTTCCTACAGCAGGACCCTCTACTATCAGAATATGCTGATCGGCAGCATCAGCTGATTGGCTGCCGCCGCTGATTGACAAGAGTTTTCCACCAACAGAAGGCAATCAAATGGTTGATTTCTGTAGAGCGGGGGCAGCCACACGTTGGTCAAAATTTAGCAATTCCCTGCAGAACTGTCCATCTATGGCCAGCTGAAAAGCGGAATTTTCACCCAAAAGGGGAAGATCCACTCTTCCTCCTCCTCCCCCACCACATTTGAAATATATATATTTTTTTTTGGGAGGGAGAACAGGTACCTGTTTTTGAAAGGTACCCCCTCCCACTTCTGGTTAGATCACCACAGTGGATCCACCAGAATTTGTCCTCCCATCCCCGCCCGCAACTTTCTGTCTACAAGACCATTCAAAAATTGCAACATGGACAGCGGGGAGCCAGCCGTAAAGCCAAAAAGAGTCACAGCCAGCTGCCCACAGTTACTATGCCGGCATCGGGGGTGCAAAGAGCAGTAAAAAAACGGCCAGGTAAGGACGGCGCTGGATCCCTGGATAGGTGAATATCTGTTTATTAAATGTTAGCACAGGTGATTGAAGCTCCTCTACACTTTGTACTTGACAAGCAGATAACCCTTGGAGTGGGGGGTGGAGGGGGCGCTGGGCTGAGAAAACGAGGATATTTCTGTACAAAATTCCTGTTCACCTTTAAGGCTTTTATTATGAATGATTTAGTCTTTGTAGAGACTGACAGATATATATAAGTAGAATCTGCCTGCTTGTTACACAGACCCCCGTGTGTAATGAATGAATTAGTATCCTCGCATTCACCTCCGGCAAACTGTTTTGGATCTCTGAAACAGTTAATGGCATGCTGTCTTGGGCTTGAATACTGAATGTTTTTGAACCCCCAGATATTATTTTGGTAGGTATTTCCCATGTCCCTCCCCCAGAGGTGCATCTTCCCCTCCTGATGTCTTATAGAGTTTTCATGGGAACTTCAACAGCATGAACAATTCCAGCAAGCTTGTGTCTACCTTGTGTAATCTGAGTGTTCATGTACACATGCACTGTATATATATATCTGGAGAACAAGCCATAGAGACATATATATACAGACCTGGTACATGCAGTATCCTTCATGTTTTGTATCTTAAGCATAATCAAATTTTTTTTTTTTTTATTGAAGGAAAAAAGCAAAAAAATAAATGTGTGTGTGTGTATATATATATATATATATATATATACATACATACACACACCTATTCTGAAAACAATCATAGATAGTATCACCATTTCATGTCTCAAATTGATTTGTGGGAGGACCTGCCTTCATGACAACCACCTGGTAAAGTCTCAGTTTTGTGATGAGAAAAGCTGCAGTGTCTGCATCATTTGAAAGTGGAGGAACCAAACTCAACCAAATATGAATCTCCTGTGGCACGGGATGCTTGGAATTTGATTTGTATCTCAGCAGTGAGCCACTCACACAGACCCAAATTAGATTTCTGGGGCATGTAAAAGACACTTCTATATTTCATAGAAAGAAGTCACAATGTAATATTTTCATGATTTCCAAAATTTACAGCATCTGTGGAAATTTAATTTTTAAAGTTCTTAAATTGCAGAATGGCTAACGTGGCATATATATTATATATATATATATATATATATATATATATAAAATGTAGGAGGGAATTTTTCTTTAAACTGGAGCTTTTGCCCTTTTTCAGCAGGGTTGCATTTTATTGTACTCCAATGCCATCTTGTGGCTAAATTTAGATTTGCAGGGCCCTTTCACACATGGGTCCTTGAAACCTTGCATTCGTTCTGTGAAGTTGTAATGTACGGGATGACATGCTTTTCTAGCACTCTAGCAATATATATTTAACACCCTGTCTACTTTTCTTTTTATCTTCGTCTTTAACACCTTCCCACCTGCAATCTATATAAAAACATTTCCTAACACAATGTTCCTTGTTGGGAATACATTGATAAATGTTCACTCATTGAGAGCCACCAGCCAACATTTTGTGCAGATGCTGACTGTCAATCCAAACTATCATTGAGTCATATGCAGGGGCGGACTGACAACTCATGGGGCCCCCAGCCAATAGGTCCCCTGTATCCTCGCCCACACTCAAAAAAGCCTATGAAAAAGGTACCAGGGGCATCTCATGGGGCCTCCTAGTGACCCGGGCCCTCGGGCAGTGCTCAAGTTTCCAAATGGTCAGTCCGCCCCTGGTCATATGTCCTTAAAAATATAAAATGGATTTGTGTAGGAAGATTAGTCATAACGTTCTTGTCAAAGTTAAGTGGCACATACCGATTTGGCTAAATTTAGATTAGGCCCCTGGTCTTGAAAGGGTTAAAAAAAAAAAAAAAAAAAAACATTTTGCCATTACTGTTGTACAGATACAGCAAAAAGGGGCAAACCTGCCCAATATATGCATAGAAATGTTCAAAAAGTCCAGCTCTAGGCAACACATTTTTTTTTAGATTTTTTAGATTTTGCTGGCTTGGAGAAGGGTTATAGCCTCTGTTTATTGTCTTTTGTGTCCTTGCTTCATTGATTTCTCCCTACTCCCTCATAACACAGGAAGAGAGGGGATCTCATCAACAGGGACAGAGACAACAAGAAAACCTGATAGAAGTTGTCATCCTTCTCCACTGCACTCTGGAAAAAAATAACATTCTGTCCCGTCATCGGATGGATTTCGCTTACTGCTTTATTGTTGTACATGGCAGCCAATCAGCTGTTGATTTAAACCTGGACTGTGAAAAATGATACTTGGAGGCTGATTGGTTGCTGTGGGCTACAATGAATGCCATCTCAGACTTCTAATATTACATGGGGAGTTATTTACTAAAACTGGAGAGTGCAAAATCTGCTGCAGCTCTGTAAATTACACCATAAAATTGTTCTGCTGTGTATCTCAGTACTGCAAGTGTTGCCCCTTAAAGTGATTTTATAATAAATTTAAATCAAGCGTATTAAATATTTAAAGTTGAGTCCATATAGTGATTCATTAAACCTCAATCCTCCGAGAATTCAAGTGTCCATGTTGTCTTAAATAAACCTAGTGAGATGTGAATCCACCACCAGCACACACAGCCTCCTACCAGATGGACAGGCCCCAAGGTATAGGTGATGAAACTGTCTTGATCCCTATCATCCAACAAGTAAAAAAATGGTGGTACTGTGATCTCCTCTTCCTAGTCTTCTCAGGACTCAGTTTAAAAGAGATGAATATCCAATAGTGAGATACCGTTCAAAACGTTTATTGATAAAAGCCAAAAACAACTGAGTACTGTCCGTGATACTTTTTTTATTTGCACTAACATACAATTTTGAGGACAAACTTTCGGGGAATGTCCCCTTCTTCAAGGTCCAAGCAGTACTATTACAAAGTTTTAGCAGGTTGTTAGAACAATTGTTTCTGTCCCCAATGCACTAATACGGCTACAATCACCTCTTGATAAAAGCCAAAAAACGACTTAAAATATATCTTCACATATAGCGCATGTAGTATAAATCGCCACTGGTGCCGGCTCCAGCTAGCATAGGTGACGTCAGCACGAACTCCGTCCCACCCCAACGTATGTTTCGTCTCAACAGAGGTTGTCAAGGGGATCCATCTCGAGATATTTGGTTTAAATCTGCATAGTAACCAATCAGATTCTTGGTTTTATTGCCAAAGCTAAAAGTGGTTGTAAGGCCTGAATAGAATGCGTGAAGGGGAAAAAAACCTTCTGTGTGCAGCAGGATCATTCTCTGTAAACCCTACAGGTGGTTGTGCATGAAAATCCCAGTAGATCAGCAGTTTTTTATATACTCAGACCAGCCCGTCTGACACCAACAACCATGCCACGTGCAAAGTCACTTAAAGTGGTTGTAAAGGCTCAAGGTTCTTACCTTCGTGCATTCTATACATGAAGGATAAAAAAACTTTCTCTGTGCAGCATCCCCCCCAAATACTGAAGCCCCTTCTCGGTCCACGATGTGCACTGGAGTCTCGGCTATCCCAGGACTCCTTCTCTTCATTGGCTGAGACAGCATCTGCTGCTGTCAATCACAGCCAGTGAGCCAATGAGAAGGGGGGGCGAGCCATGGCTCCGTGTGTGAATGGACATATGAAACAACGGGTGCCCCCATAGCAAGCTGCTTGCTGTGGGGAACCTAACAAACAAGAGAAGCCAGGAGAGTCTGCAGGGGACCCGAGAAGAGGAGGATCCAGGCTGCTCTGTGCAAAACCACCGCACACAGCAGGTAAGTATAGACATGTTTGTTATTTTTTGAAGAGAAAAAGTAACCTTTGGAATCACTTTAACTGAACAAGCTGATGTTAGAAGCTGATTGGCTATCATGCACAGCTGCACCAGATTCTGAGTGCTCCAGTTTTAGTAAATCATGGAGTCTCTGATAATGTGGAAAAGCACAAAAGGACACTGCTCCAGGTGGTATCACAGCTTATTCACAACCCCGAATGCCAGCTCAATGGAGCCTGTTCCTCCCAAACGCATTAAAATCAATCAAAGAAACTTTATTGCCACTTGGATGAAGTTCCACTCCATCCCTTTGATTCAGCTCAAATTTGGCATAGTCTACTAGGGGTGGGCTACTGCTGTCCTCCAGCTGTTGTGGAACTACAAGTCCCATCGTTCCTCTGGGAGTCATGCTTGTAACTGTCAGTCCTGCAGTGCCTCATGGGACTTGTAGTCTCACAACAGCTGGAGGTCAGCAGTTCCCCTACCCCTAATCTAGACTATGATTAAGCCCCATTCGGGGTGAAATGCATCAGATGACGTGAAGCAGGATTTGGTGGTTTTGTTGCTCTAGTTTGCTGTAAATTCATCCAAATGGCAATCACGTTCTTTGAGGTTGATGGAAAAATGCGATGGCAGTGCGTCTTTTTTTTTTTAAATTTATTTGCTTAGGCCACAATACAGCAGCACCAGCTTGTACCAGGCACCTTGATGTCCCTGATGAAGCATCCCCAGCAGCCTGAAATGTGGGATACTGCAGTCGTACCATGTGTGTCTTTGTCGGTCTTGCTGCCTGCTTGCTGGAAATTTGTGGAGTTATAATTTGGTGCTTGATTTTTTTTCCCTCCCCTTCTTCCCTCTCCTTTTTTTTTTCTTTCCATTCCCCTCACCCCTCTGTCCCCACATTTTGCTGCCCCCCTGGTATTTTCTTCTCCCCCCCTTCCCCTTGTCTCACACAGCAGTCTGAACAGCGTTAACAGTAGTGACTCAAGGTCGAGCGGTTCGCACTCACACTCACCCACTTCACACTATCGCTATCGCAGCTCCAATCTGCCCCAGCAGGCACCGATGAGGCTGTCCAGCGTCTCCTCCCACGATTCTGGCTTCATTTCCCAAGATGCTTTTCAGTCCAAGTCTCCGTCTCCCATGCCGCCGGAAGCTGTCAACCAGGTAAGCGCCGGAAGTCTGTGTGATTTTGAGTCTGTGAAGTGTTATTGGTCATGGTGCTCACCAACACAGTTATTGGACTGTATGTACCGAAAACTTTGTCCTCAGATCAAAACTTTTTCTGAATAGAGCTGGGCATTGTCAGCACTCCCATTGCTGTCTGAGGCTTCGTTGGGGACATTTATCCCTCCTTCCTGTCCCCGTGACAACTGAAGGAAAATATGAAACTGGTATACAGACAGCAATAAAATGTCACTTCTGAGACGAACACTACATACACAGAAATGTGTGCGTACATAACATTTTCAGCCTTTTTTTTTTTTTTTTTTTTCCGTCAAATTTTCTCAATCCTGTGGATCAACCCCATTATTGATTAGAAAATCAAACAAACGTTCTCTAAACAACAAATTTAGAGAAAAAGTCCACTAGTATATGGCCAGTTTAAGGCTAGGTTTACACTCATGCGGTGCGGTACATCGCATGTGATTCGTACAGGAACTGCACCGCATTCCTGTGCAAATCACATGTGACTAGTGTGCAGTGCGATCAGAGCCGTACATTTTATATGGCTCAAATCGCACCACATCTGCACCAAAAAAGTGCAGGAGCCTTTTTTGAGTCCCCACTGATCGCATGGGTAGTCACACCTATGTAATCAGATTCTGCACATCGCATCACGTTTTGCAGACCAATTTCGGGGTGTTGTTAACTTAACATACACAATCGCAGCGGTTCGCATGAACGGGGTGCGATTCTGATGTGGTGCGGAATTTGCACAGAAAACTACATTAGTGTGAACCCAGGCTAAGAGATGAAGTAAGGATCAGTATAATGGCTGAAGTCCCTACGACTCAAAAATTATTCTGCAATGGCAGTTCCCAAATTTGTATCCTGATAAATTTGCCATAAACAGGTCACATGTAGATCCTTTTTTGTTTTTGTTAGATTGGTAAATTAAATTTTAGCTAATCCCATACACTTTTGTTTTTTTTTAATTTGATCAAAATTATACTCCGCAACCTGCAAACAACCTAACATTGTTCCACTTAAATATATATCAGTGAAATTTGGAATGTAAAGTGTATGCCACAAAAAAAAAAAATTGGCAGCCCTATCTTACCCCCTTTTTTTTTTTTGTTCACCATGAAAAAGTAAAGATCATATAATTCCCACATGTACTTCAAGTGTAGATTGTAACAGTGGTCTCCAAACTGTGGCCCCAAGGCCGCATGCAGCCCCTTTGCTTGCTTCTATCTGGCCCTTGGCGTACTATTTCATTCGCTGATACCAACAATGAAGTATAATTCTCCCATTGACATCAAATGAAGGGGCATAATTCCTCCCATTGACACAAACGATGGGTCACAGTATCTTCCAATGGGGCAAGATTCCTCACAGTGATACCAATGATGAGGTGCAATTCCTCCCACTGACAACAAAGATGGGGCATTGTCTATTCCCACTCACATCAGGACCTTTTCTTCTCCTAATTGCCACAGTCCGACCCCCCCTAAAGTCTGAGGGCATTAAGCTGGCCCTTTGTTTAGAAAGTTTGGAGATCCCTGTGTTAGGACATTGTACATTTATTTTTCATGAAAACTTTGAATTAGAATGTCTGTGGGTACTGTTGTTGGTATTGGCACTTTCAAATGAAGGCGCAAAATTGCTCTGATTGACACGAACGATGGGTCACAATATCTTCCAATGACACCAACAATGGGATACGATTCCTTCCGGTGACACCAATGATGAGGTACAATTCCTCCCAGCAGCAGCTGATGTCTGCTGCGTATGAATCCACCTCGGAGCTGCATGCAGGCAGGCAATAGAAGTGGATGCGTATGCAGTGACTGCATAGATACAATCGCATTTCAAAATCTGACATGTGGGCAGGAGCAAGTGCATAGATCCAACACTGCGTTTTCAGATCCTGCTCGCTTGTGAAATTATAACATGCGATTGAGTCCATGCAGCTGATGCATGTGCATCCATTTCTATTGGCTGCCTGCATGCAGCTCCGAGGTGCATTCATATGCAGCAGACAGCTTCTCAGACCTGAGGACTGGTCTGATCACCCATCTGAATGAACATTTCTTGATCTCTTATTCACCAGGAAACTACAGATGTATCTGATAGTCCATTTCCCTCCATGTAGTCCTTTTAGGCCTTGTTAAAGGATAAGTTCATGTTACATGTTCCTCCCGTTTTTAGGGTGGAACATGTAACATGTTCCCATAGCTGCAGCCATGCATGCATGCCGCCCCCCCCCCCCCCCCTCCCGTTTTCAAGGTGGAACATGCAACATGACCCCATAGCTGCAGCCATGCACGCCCCCCGCCCCCTCCCGTTTTCAAGGTGGAACATGCAACATGTCCCCATAGCTGCAGCCATGCACGCCCTTCCCCGACAGACAGATAATATGGGGAGAAGTTACCCTGTGCTGTCAGATTTTAAAACAACGCAACCGTGTGGGGCTCCGCCCACACGGCCGCGCCACTCATTCACAGTGTGAATGAGTGTCTACAAGCCCCGGCAGTAGTGGCTGCCGGCTTGTAGCTTTCATTGAACTACCACGGTGCTGTGGAGCGCCGTGGTAGTACATTATTATTATTACAGGTACATTGAAGCTTGCTGTCAGTATATCTGCTTCTTCATACATCCCGTACGGCAAGCAGATATTCTGACAAGTCTGCAGGAGACATGCATGGCACCAGCAATCTACTGATCACTGGTGCAATGCTTTCCAGGCTCCCCTCTGACAGATAATATGGGGAGAAGTTACCCTGTGCTATCTGTTAGATTTTAAAATAGCGCGGCCGTGCAGGGCTCTGCCCACACAGTGTGAATGAGTGCCTACAAGTCCCGGCAGTAGTGGCTGCCGGCTTGTAGCTTTCATTGAACTACCACGGCACTGTGGAGCGCTGTGGTAGTTCATTATTATTATTTTTATTTTTTTTATTTAATTTATTCCAGGTACTTGTATAGCACCATCAATTTATGCAGTACTTTACATATATATTGTACATTCACCTTAGTCCCTAACTCTCAATGGGTTTAAACATTGAAGCTTCCTGTCAGTATATCTGCTTCTTCATACCGTACGGCAAGCAGATATTCTGTCAGGTCTGCAGGAGACTTGCATGGCATCAGCAATCTACTGATCGTTGGTTCAATGCTTTCCAGGCTCCTTTGGACAAAAATAATAAATGCACATTTTTTTACCTGCAAAAAATGGGAATTTATTATATTTGTCAAAAATGTGAACTTGTCCTTTAAAGTTCACTGAGCCCTGATAAAGGGGGAAGTGTTGTTGGCCTCTGAAACATGTTTTTATGTGATCCTGTTATGAACAATTAAAGCAATTTGGACTCCTGCACCAAGTTGGTCTGGTGTTCCTGTTTGAGCAATAAAAACCTGACAGGGGATCTAACTCCTCCGCATTCAATATAAAACCAAGAAAAATTATTTTTGGATTCCCATACAGTTTAATAACAGTGCCGTTTCAGGTGCTTCTCTCCTTTTCTTTCCTGTGCTTATTGATTGCTCGAAATATCCCATTCATACATCTCCTTTGTTCCAGAATTCGTCCAGCTCTGCCTCCTCTGAAGCGTCTGAGACCTGCCAGTCGGTCAGCGAGTGTAGTTCTCCTACATCTGTGAGCTCCGGTTCCACCATGGGAGCATGGGCCTCCACTGATAAGGTGACTTTTCTGCTGCCACAACAGCCACTGAAGTGTTCCTACATTGCAATATAAAAACCTGATGATGACTTGGGAATTGACAATCGATTAATAGCATCCAAACTAATACCCTTTCAGATTGTTTCTTGCACTGTTGCAATCCCAGACAATTTCCTAGTCTTCTCCAGTCATGTGAGGGCAGCAAGGCGAGAGTTATCCATGAAAGCCAGGATGAGAATGTAACTATTATTCTTGGGCCCACTCAAATGCAGGAGTGTGTTTGTTATCTACCTGGATAGATATTTTATACATAGTTACATTGGCCTACCTTGGACCAGTGTAACTATGTATATACTATACTTGGCCAATACCCCTGGAAGCTGGAAATCACTGAAGTAGATACCACTACTCCAGTGATCTCCACTTGCTTCGGGACCCATACTGAGCGGATACCCATTTTGAACCCAGGATGTCAGCCACTTGGCACAGGTGCCATTAAGAGATTACTTACCATTTTCTGAATTAACGCAAAGCCTTCTCTGATTGGGTGAAGTGGAGAGGCAAGGCAGTGACGTCACGCTCTCCTCCCTTTCCAATCAGAGAATGCTTTCTGGCTATCCTGTGTCCAGAATGCAGCAGGCCTTACTGCTCAGCTTGGGACCCAGAAGCAAGTGGAGATGGTTGGAGTAGCAGCTGATGTACAGGGTCCAGGGGAATCAGCCAGGTATCATAGTTACATTGGTCCATGTATAACGTATTCATTAAGCATGTGGCTGTTTTCTGAGAACCACCCAACCCATTTAAGCCTAGGATTACACTCGAGTCAGAGAACGCATGCCCTGATCAAAATGTGCCGCTCCTTTGTAGAGACAGGGGTGCCAGTAAGAATTAATGGCAGTCCCAAGCATCAGGAACACATGACGTTTCTGGGTGCATAAAACCTCATGCTTTGTTACATGCGGCCATGTTTTTAAAATGGGTCAGGAACTTTTTCTTTGCATTTCCTGAAGGTACAGCAGCGCATTCAAGTCAACGGGCTGCTCTGCCTATGCAAGCGTGAGCCGCGCTACCTGCAAGAGTGTATACCTAGCCTAATGTGAAATTGAGGTCTCTTGTATCACCAGAGGCCAGTCATTTCGCTGGGTATATACGGGTTTACACCCACTGTAATCTTTTATTTCTGCCATCTCATTCTGTCTATGTACCCATATTTTACCTTTCTACTCCTTATAATAAAAATGAGTTTATGTTCTTGCAATGCATCGTGGGATTTTGAAGAAATTCATATATTTTCTTTTATTTTCCATTATCATGAACTAGGCTTTGTATATTTGATGTGAAGATATTTTGGATGTGGAGGTTCTATATGTTGCTTCCATATACTTTCACATTTAAATTGTTATTCAGTTTAATGCTAATTTTTTTTTATCACACATTGATTTACCCTACTGTCATTTTATGTTCATTTATCATATTTACGTATTTTATTTTTATTTTGCACAGACCCATCATCACCCTGGGTGAAGGCAGCCATTTTGTGAGCTAAAAACAATAATTGTGAAAGTTTAGCCCAGGCCCCATAGTAAATTATGTATAAAGAAATATCTGGTAGTAGTTGGTCTCATTCAAATGGACTTGTTCTGTAATGTTGAAGATGTTTCGCGGGTTATCCAAGGCACATCTTCAGTTCTAATTAGAACCAAAGCTGCAAAACATCTTCAACATTAATATGATTATTTTTTATTATGGGCATTTATATAGCGCCAATAATTACACAGTGCTTTACAGTCACATCAGTCCCTGCCATTAAGGAGAGTACAATCTAAGTCCCCTACCTTGCATGCATACATATACTAGGGCCAATATACACTCACCGGCCACTTTATCAGGTCCACCTTGCTGGTACCGGGTTGGGCCCCCTTTTTACCTTCAGAACGGCCTTCACTCTTCATGGCATAGATTCTACAAGGTGTTGGAAACTTTCCTCTGAGATTTTGGTTCATATTGACATGATAGCATCATGCAGTTGCTGCAGATTTGTTGGCTGCACATCCATGATGCGAATCTCCAGTTCCACCACATCCCAAAGGTGCTCTATTGGATGGAGATCTGGAGGCCATTGGAATACAGGGAACTCATTGTCATGTTCAGGAAACCAGTTTGAGATGATTTGAGCTTTGTGACATGGTGCATTATCCTGCTGGAAGTAGCCATCAGTAGACAAGTACACTGGAGTCATAAGGGGATGGACATGGTCAGCAACAATACTCAGGTAGGCCGTGGCATTTAAACAATGCTCAGTTGGTACTAGGGGCCCAAAGTGTGCCAAGAAAATCTCCCCCACACCATTACACCACCAGCCTGAACCGGATACAAGGCTGGATCCATGTTTTTCATGTTGTTTACGACGCCAACAGACCAGGCAATGTTTTTCCAATCTTCTATTGTCCAATTTTGGTGATCCTGTGTGAATTGTAGCCTTCGTTAACTGTTAGCTGACAGGAGTGTGGTGTGGTTATTCTGCTGCTGTAGCCCATCTGCTTCAAGGTTCAATGTGTTGTGCTTTCAGAGATGGTATTCTGCATACCTTGGTTGTAACAAGTGGTTGATGAGTTACTGTTGCCTTTCTGTCACCTCAAACCAGTCTGCCCATTCTCCTCTGACATCAAAAAGGCATTTTCATCCACACAACTGCCGCTCACTGGATATTTTCTCTTTTTTGGACCATTCTCTGTAAACCCTAGAGGTGGTTGTGCCTGAAAATCCCAGTAGATTAGTAGTTTTTGAAATACTTATACCAGCCCATCTGGCACCAACAGTCATGCCACATTCAAAGTCACTTTAATCCTCTTTCTTCCCCATTCTGATACTGGGTTTAAACTTCAGCAAGTTGTCTTCACCACATCTAGATGCCTAAATGCATTGAGTTGCTGCCATGTGATTGACTGATTAGCAATTTGTGTTACCAAGTAATTGAACAGGTTTACCTAATAAAGGGGCCGGGGAATGTAAACAGGAGCAAAATAACCTACTGAACATGTCTTTGGAATGTGGGAAGAAATGCGAGTACCCAGAGGAACTCCATGCAAGCACAGGGAGAGCATGCAAACTCCATGCAGATAGTGTCCTAGCTAGGATTCAAACCAACGACGCAACCACTAAGCCACTGTGCTGACCAAAACAAGTCCAGTTGAATGTGACTACTACTAGCTATACCATGACCGGGATAAATAAGAAACGTCACAGGAATTTAAAGAAATGGGCCTAAATGATGCGCTGTCGGCAGATTGTTAGGATTGTCCCTCAATATTCTTCATTTACAGTATATGAAAAAAAACAAAAATGTTGTGGCAGGATGGAAGGTGTTGTCCACAGAGGCCAGTTAGGCGTCCACATTCATACCCTAACCTGGGGTCAAAAAAGTGAACACAGAATGTGGTTGTTAACTTCTATTGTCCTTTTTTTTTTTTTTTTTTTTTTACCTGGTGCTGTTTACAAAATGGCTGCCACCCCTGGGTCTAGAGGTGGATCAATTTCAGCTTGATTTTAGTCACCTTTACCGTTATATTGATTTTGCATTTTGTTCCCTGTTTTGTTTTTCTTTCCCCTCCTCCATGTTGTCTGTCTCCAGCTGTCTAATGGGTATCATCACCATGGTGAACTGCCTATGGCAGGCCATTTCACCCATTTCCCACTCCCAGTGTCCCGCCCCTGGACCCGATCTAGTTCCGCTGTCCCAGACTATCACTATTACACCATTGGTCCAGGCATGCTGCCATCATCCAAGATCCCTTCCTGGAAGGTTTGTGTTTGTGTGGTGCAGCTTTTGGCCTTGATGTGTCCTCTCCTGTTTCCTGTCCCCTTCTAATCTAGCCACTGTCTGGGGAATCCTGTTTTTTTGCACATTTATGTGAATCTCTGTCATTTTTAACACTGCACAACCCTGCTAAACTCACCATTTTTCTTTAAATTGTCCGAAAATGAATATTCATTCAAATCATTTTGTTCAGAATAGAAGGAGAAGAGCAGAATTATTAGTATTTTAAAAAGTAAGCATTTGATATACTGCATACACTGTGTTGTCTCTTAATTCATCTTGTAGTGTAGTTCCATGTAATTACTCATTTTTTGTTACAGATTTAAAGAACTGTCACTTCATTTTTTCAGTGTTCTTTCCCCTTGGGGACTAGTAGATGGAGTATGTTGTCCCTCGTTCCTACATGCTTTGCAAGCCTAGCTGCAAGATTGTATGGGACACCCAACAACGCAGCTAGCAAGGAGACAGCTGCTTGATAACGCTTGTCTCAGTGTCGAGAACTTAATAACAGCATGTGTATTCCTGCGCTTCAATAAATAAATATAGTGAAAAGAAAAAAGAAGAGAAAAGTTGCTGGTACAGGTAATAAGATACAACCAACCTCACAAAATCCAAATCAAAAAGTGTAGCACTAATCAATCAAAAGTGACAGTTTAACAAGATAGTGCTCCTATAACAAAAGTCCAAAATATGTGTAAAATAGTGCTTCCAGAAGATCCAAAAGAAAGAAGTGCCCACCAATCTAATACCATTGAAAGAAAAAAGGAGAACATCTCGGAGGTCCAGTGGTAGTAAAGGTAAAGTGGATGCTTACCAGAACCGGTTGCCTTTCAAATGAAAAAGCCAACAGAGCTTTAGGGAATAGCCCCAAACCAATCCTTAGCTGATGATGGGATGAAGTTCCGGCTCTGCACTCTGCTCAGACGCCACTCCCAAGTTCATAAACATATAAAATATAAAACCTCATAGTGCAGTATGTTCTACATAGTTACATAGTTAGTCTGGCTGAAAAAAGACAAAAGTCCATCCAGTTCAACCATAGAAAAAAGTTATAATCCTATATCCACAGTTGATCCAGAGGAAGGCAAAAAAAACCCAGCAAAGCATGATCCAATTTGCTCTAAAATTTCTTCCTGATCCCCCGAGAGGCAATCGGATATTCCCTGGATCAACTTTACATATAAATGTTATATCCAGTTATATTCTGTGTATCTAAGAAAGAATCCAGGACTTTTTTGAAGCAATCCACTAAGCTGGTCAGAACCAACTCTTGAGGGAGTCTATTCCACATTTTCTCAGCTCTCACTGTGAAGAAACCTTTCCGTGTTTGGAGATTACATTTCTTTTCCTCCAGATGTAAAGCGTGCTCCCTTGTCCTCTGTGATGACCTCAGGGTGAATAACTCTACACCGAGTTCACTATATGAACCATTGATGGTATTTATACATGGAGATCATATCCCCCCTTATGTATTATACATGGAGATCATATCCCTCCTTATGTATTATACATGGAGATCATATCCCCCCCTTATGTATTATACATGGAGATCATATCCCCCCTTATGTATTATACATGTTGATCATATCCCCCCTTATGTATTATACATGTTGATCATATCCCCCCCTTATGTATTATACATGTTGATCATATCCCCCCTTATGTATTATACATGGAGATTCATATCACCCCTTATGTATTATACCTTATGTATTATACATGGAGATCATATCTCCCCTTATGTATTATCCATGGAGATCATATCCCCCCCCCTTATGTATTATACATGTTGATCATATCCCCCCTTATGTATTATACATGGAGATCATATCCCCCTTATGTATTATACATGGAGATCATATCCCCCCTTATGTATTATACATGGTGATCATATCCCCCCTTATGTATTATACATGGTGATCATATCCCCCCTTATGTATTATACATGATGATCATATCCCCCCCTTATGTATTATACATGGTGATCTTTTCCCCCCTTATGTATTATACACGGAGATCATATCCCCCCTTATGTATTATACACGGTGATCATATCCCCCCCTTATGTATTATACATGGAGATCATATCCCCCCTTATGTATTATACATGGAGATCACATCCCCCTTATGTATTATACATGGAGATCACATCCCCCTTATGTATTATACATGGAGATCATATCCCCCCTTATGTATTATACATGGAGATCACATCCCCCCTTATGTATTATACATGGAGATCATATCCCCCCCTTATGTATTATACATGGAGAGATCATATCCCCCCTTATGTATTATACATGGTGATCATATCCCCCTTATGTATTATACATGGAGATCACATCCCCCTTATGTATTATACATGGAGATCACATCCCCCTTATGTATTATACATGGAGATCACATCCCCCCTTATGTATTATACATGGAGATCACATCCCCCCTTATGTATTATACATGGTGATCATATCCCCCCTTATGTATTATACATGGAGATCATATCCCCCTTATGTATTATACATGGAGATCATATCCCCCCTTATGTATTATACATGGAGATCATATCCCCCCTTATGTATTATATACATGGTGATCATATCCCCCTTATGTATTATACATGGAGATCATATCCCCCCTTATATATTATACATGGTGATCATATCCCCCCTTATGTATTATACATGGTGATCATATCCCCCCTTAATCTCCTCAAGAGAGAATAAATTCAGTTCCTCTAATCTTTCCTCATAGCTGAGCTCCTCCATGCCTCTTACCAGTTTAGTTCTAAATACAATTTATTAAAACAGCAGTATTGCACTCACATGTATTAATAAGACACGGGCATCAAAGTTTCCAGAGCTGCAGCATACACAAAAACGGCATAGCATTCCTTCCAATCGGCGATCAGCATGATGACATCACGTTAGGCACTGCCCAACAAGTTTCGTCATATGTTTGCCATCAGGAGCATGGCCACATGGAGTCTGAACTGCATCCCATCATCAGCTAAGGATTGGTTTGGGGCTATTCCCTTAAGTGCTTTTGGCTTTTGTATTCATTTGAAAGCCAACTGATCTTGGTAAGCATCCACTTTACCTTTACTACCACTGGACCTCCGAGGTGTTCTTCTTTTTTCCTTCAATGATATTGGATTGGTGGACACTTCTTCCTTTTGGATCTTCTGGAAACAATATTTTACTCATATTTTGCATTTTGTTATAGGAGCACTATCTTGTTGGACTGTCACTTTTGCTTGATTAGCGCTGCACTTTTTGATTTGTACAGTGTCAAGAACTTGCCTGAGACCAGCGGTGGCAAGAGGAAAGCGGATTGGTGTATTGGATGGTCATTGGGAAGGGGGGGCTCACCTGTATGACAACCTAGCTATGCTTACAAAGCACATATTACCATGGGACTAAGTACTACATGAACACTGAAAATAGAACTTTTATTTACCACGGGGAGCCCAGTATGGGGCTTTAAAAAGATCCAATCACCATTGGGATTTTTTTTTAATAATCTTAGTCTCTGCTCTTGAATATAAATGCAGCCTTACTGATCAGAAAGTTCAACTTTTTTAAATTGTATTTTCTACCTATAAGACCCCTTAAACAAGGGTGCCCTCCCCTTCATCTCAGCAGCAGTTCCTAGACCTCCTTTGCTGAATTGGATTAGAATCAGAATAGGAATGAATATCAGATATGTGACATCCATGTTTATTCCCACTTTTCCTCCATCTTGTGTGATGAAGGTAAAAGCAGACCCATGTAGTAACTATGGGTGGCTGGATATAAGCAGACGTGTCTGCCTATATTTACCCACAGCTGATCAGGTCAGTAAACGCAAATCTGGGCGCAAACATTTTCTATTTAGCCCAACAAACCTGAACAGATCCGGATGTGAGCAAATATAGGTGGACTCATGTCCACTGACATTCAGTCACTCATAGGGATACATTGCAGCCCGTTTTGATCTGTGTAATCCTGAGTCAAAAACAGAATGCTGGAATGCCCATGTGAAAGGGGCCTAAAAGCAGAAGTGTCAGGATGACTGGCAGACTATCAGTGCTTTAACAAATATTCAGGGCCCATTGACACTATTGCATGCACTACCCCAGCACACGTTAACAGCACACGCATAACCTATGTGGCGGCTTCATTCATTTGAAATAGCACCCTAACACTCTGAGGCAAATCACCTGCATTGCAGTACATTGTGCAACAAAATATGGGTCTCATCTCATTTTCAGCACTTTAGGGTACATCGGCATTTTTAAAGGGCTTGCTTAATGTAATGCAGGTTTACATGAAATATAACACCCATTAAAGCTAGGTTCACATATGTGCGTGTGGTGCAGCTGTGGATCCGCATCAAAAGCGCATGATAGTACATGAGACATTTATGTAGTAAAATCACACACAAAGAGGAAACCTGAATGGGCTCCAAGTTGAGCACTCTATTATGGTGACGTTAGTAGGCATTGTGCAGTGCCATACCTCTCACTGTCTGCCAGTTGTGTTTTCATACCTAAAATTCTGTTCTATAATCTTTTTTTCTTCCATTATTGTAAATTGGCAATTGTTTGCCTTGGATTTTGACACCCTATGTTGTCACCCGAAGGGGACTTTTGGTCATTTAACTGTTTTGCAATCTATAGGTCCTAGTTATAAAGGTAAAATAATTCCTTTTCATTTAGCCACTATACTTGCTCTGGATTTTCTCCTGTTAAAGTACTGTGTATGTACTGTCATACAATGCAACTTAACCATTTGACAACTGCCCCATAGCAGATATACTGCTTCAGGGAGGCCACGCTGTGCAAAATCACATATATAAATGTGATTTTGCACTTTCTGGTCGCAGGTGCGCACATGCACCGCCTCTGCTGTGATTTGTCATAGCAGAAGTCAATCAGCGGATGCTGGCCAATGGATGAGCAGCGCCGCCACCCACTGATCTTCTAGGAGTCTGACAGAACAAACAGAGCTGTGTCCTGTCAGTGGCAGTGTTCTGGATTTTCTTTTTCTGCAAGCAGGGAATAGATTCCAGCACATTACCTAGTGAAGGCAGCACAAACAGTACCCATTACACTTAGCTAGGCACACAGTTAACCCTTTGATCTCCCTAGATGTTTAACCTCTTCCCGGCCAATGTCATTAGTACAGTGTTAGTAAGGGGCGGACTGACCATTTGGAAACTCGGGCACTGCCCGAGGGCCCCGGGTCAGTAGGGGGCCCCATGAGATGCCCCTGGTACCTTTTTCATACGCTTTTTTGATTTTGGGCAAGGACACAGGGGCCCCATGATCCCCTATTGTGCGGGGGCCCCATGAGTTGTCAGTCTGCTCCTGTCAGTGCATATTTTTAGCACTGATCACTGTATATCACTGGTTCAAACAAAGCGTCAGTTAGTGTCCGATTGTCCGCCACAATATCGCAGTCCCGCTATAAGTTGCTGATCACCGCCATTACTAGTATTAAAAAAAAAAAATGAAATTAAAACATTCCAGTATATACACCATAGTTTGTAGACGCTATAACTTTTGCGCAAACCAATCACTATACGGTTATTGGGATTTTTTTTGCCACAAATATGTAGCAGAATACATATTGGCCTAAATTTATGAAGGAATTGGATTTTTTACATTTTTTTTTATTGGATATGTTTTATAGCAGAAAGTAGAAAATATTGTGGGGGGGAGGGGGGGCAGCATTCAAAGTTTTCTGTATTTTTTGTTTATAGAGCAAAAAATAAAAAGACCAGTGGTGGTCAAATACCACCAAAAGAAAGCTCTATTTGTGTGAAAAAAATGTCATTTAATTTATGTACAGCATTGCATGACCGCACAATTGTCAGATAAAATAACGCACTGCTGTATCGCAAAAAATAACCTGGTCATGGAGGAGGTAAATCTTCCGGAGGTCAAGTGGTTAAGCTGTGACATCATTTTAAAATTTTAAATAATAGTGCATTTTTTTTAAAGGTTTCTGTTGTTTGTGTTTCAGAGATTTATTTATCAGTCACATGACCTCCAACTGCTTTTCTGGTCCCTCTTTCTGAGTGTGGGGGTGTGGCTGCATTGAATGACATATAGAGAGGTAGGGGTGGATGAAGGGACATAGAACTACTGGCACGCTGTGTAAAGGTACAAGCATCTTATAGCCCAGATTATAAACTGACCTTGCCAGCACAGATCCATTTAGATATAAAGGCTGCATTAGTTTTCTTTTTTTCAGACTTTCTCCCTTTATTTTCACTTGGTAAGTCTGTCAGTTACAAACGTCCTGTCCTAGGATGACAACATCCAACATCTTGTATGTACAAAGTAGCAGCATTATCACCCCTTTTGACAGGAAGTGCGTTAGAACTACAACCCCCCCCTCTCATGTCCATAATATAGTGGGAACGGGGTTATGGTGATACCAGCAGTGCGGATAGGACTGCTTGAGATTACACTGGCGAGTTCACAGAAAATGACAAGCTCACCGGATTTCAAGAACAAGTATAACAAAACACTTTAAATGGTATATTTAACAAAAAAAGAAGTTTCCGGCCCTTTTCACAATTCATCTTTATAAATTGAAAAAATCTGCAAAATGGAGTTTGTTGGATTTTTTTTTAAATGAAGTGAGGCTGCACTGAACAGATAGGGGTATACCATGAAGCATATGAACGTTTTTCATCAGTACATCCATAAAGGTGCCCCAACTCTTCATGTGATGGGGAAAGGTGTCACAGAGAGGGGAGGGGGGACCATTGGGCCTTCATTATGGGTGTCAGAGGTTAAACCTGTACTGGTTTCCCAAAGCAGTTAATCTAATACCTCCATCAAACTGATCGTATGGTCCAATGTTACATCCCCTTGAACTACGTATGCATCACAGCCTAGATCTAGATCATACTTCTGGGTAAACAGTTAAATGATCAAAAGGTTCTTTGACTAAAAGAGACTTCTCAACAAAGTAATCGTTAGAAATCTAAAGTTTCCATTTTTAAACTTCTGTTGATCTCATTCTGTAGCTCTGCTCAATATGTACGTGGTTTCTAACTCTACAGTGGTCCTTTTATGGGTTTGTGTGGTCTACAAGATCATGCTGTCATTTTTGATGGCCCCTTCAATTAATACTTTTCCTTTGTAGTCATAGCAGGGCTGGATTTACATCACTGGATCTTGCAGCTCTAAGCATCTCAACTCTTAGGCTGGCCATACATTATACAATTTTCTTGAGGTTTTTGGTTTAGATTTACCAAAAAACATATAATAGGAGGTCAAACCTAACAACACTTTGAATTGTATCCAATTAGGCAGGCTCTTGCACTACATAGTTGAAGGGTAAAGCTAAAGGAAATTAGGCAGAAAATTGTATAGTGTATGGCCAGCCTTATGGGAAGGCTTTTCACAGTATTTCTGGGTTTTTCTGTGAGAATTTGCCCATTTCACTAAAAGAGCATTTGTAAAGTCAAGTACTGATATTGGATGAGAACACTCAGCTCATAATTGGCATTCTAATCCCAAAAGTGTTCATTGGAGTTGAGGTCAGGGCTCCATGCATATCTTTCTGTTTTTGGATGCTTCTTACTACATTCAGAGTTTAAAGTGTTACTAAATGCAAGACCCTGCATTCACTATATCTGGTTTCCCCGGACCCTGCATGCACTATATCTGGTCTCACACAGTACACAGAACTTGGAAATGCAATTAGTTTAGTAAATATAAATAGCTAAATACCTTTTCTCATCATTAGTATATAGCAGTCTTGTGACTTCTATCAGTGTCCAGTAGATCAGTGGTTAAAGCTTGTAGGAGGAGTTTTCATCCTCCCTTGGCTACCTTGGCTTACTTTGTGTTTCTCTGCGGAGATCAAGTCTTAGAGGCAGGGCTTTACTTCCCCAGGTTGGAGCTGCCCTCTGATGACCTTTGATTCCCTGATTGGGGAGGGTAATGTTCAAGAAGCATCAGGTTCAAGAAGTGCAGATATTACAGATCCACAGAATGAATGAATCAGAAACAAGAAGATCCTTGCACTGTAAGTTTGCAGATACAGCTTCCTCTCCAGCAAAGAGAACAGCGGGCTTCACAGTAGTGACATGCCCAAATCTCACTCTAAATCTGGTGCATATAGCAGTGAGAAGGCATAGTACCCTTAGATAATCTTACACATAGATACTACTAAAGCACAAATAACATGTCTAGATGTTTCCTAAAAGGTGAGAAATCTTCACTATTTTAGTTCATGGACATTTTACAGCTTTCCATTCAGTTACTGTCAAGAGAGTTATAAGGCCCTTTTTATAGACTTTGTCTGCTAGCAGGTAAAAGCCCAGCTGCATATCGCCTAACAAAAGCCAGTTAGAGTTTTTTTTATCGGGAAGGAAGAACAGATTTTTGTTAGCTGGAAGCAATTTTATTTTTCATCCCTATAAGTCAAGTGTCATGTATTAAAGCAGAGACTTGGATTGACCTCTGCTGGGTAAAAAAGAGCCTAACATGATGAAAAATCCAGCCCTGGTTTATGCCACTCTTCTCTTATTTCTCTGTGTGTTTGCTTTGGGGGAGACTTACCTTTCTTTAAAAAGAGTCATGTTGGGAACATCCAAACACAGTCTTTAACCTTTCATTCAGGACTGGGCTAAGCCAGGTCCATACGACCAGCCTGTGATGAACACGCTTCAGAGACGCAAACGTGAAGTTGACCCTTCTTCAGGAGCCCAGTTCATGCATCCCGGACTAATTAATGAGGCTCATTCACCCCGCAGTACAAGAATGCCCGTGGCATCAAGGGTAAAGTGTCACTTGACCAAAAAGCACTTCTCTAACCCTTTAACGCTCAGATTCTCATCTTTCTCTAGCTTCTAACACCGGTCTGCAGGAAACTGTGCTTTTTTACAGCTTTATTAGAAACTCTTAATAACATAGCAATTGCTCTATGCCTGAGCACAGAAATGACTATAACAGGGCTCTTTTAACTTTCTAGATATCTTCTCTCTATGCTTTTTGACTGTCAACTTTGAGTTTGCCAGAATGGATATTTGGTTTAATATTGTCCAGAGCAGAGGTGCCCCACCATTTTTTAACAGTAGGCCAAGAATTATCAGCCTACAGTTTTGGCAGAGTAAATGTACAAGGGATAAGCCTATCCCAGGAATGACCCCAGATTGAAGTTTTGCAAACTAACGCAATGTTTTGGGGCAACCACCCTCCGTCACATAATCAGTATCAATGAACTACTGCCCCGAATAGTTGTATTTTTCCCATGACTCTGACCATAAATGGGATAACTCCATCTCATTTTGGCTTAACTGTTGCTTGTCCGTGGATCCCTCTGAATGCAATTGCAGCTCTGGGTTCAGTTGTAAATGCATGGTGGCAAGGACATTATTCTTTTAGTAGTCTTAAATTCCCAACCTTTGTTCTAGGACTCCACGTAGTTTTTGTAGCAGAACACAAAATATTTTGGCACCTCTGGTCTGGAGACAACCTGCAGACATTCAGCAAAGAATTAGACATTTCAGCCTTGCTCACAAGGTCTCCAGAGGGTGAGTTGAAGCATGTGTGAGCAGGCATCCCAGGACCTTCTTAACAGCAGTTTCTTAATAGTTGGAGGCCTGCAGGTTGCCCAGATCTGTTTACCACAACAGACACAACCACAACCTGTGCTTTCCTGAGAATTTTTCATTTATTCATTCTTTCCTGTGTCCCCCACCAGCAAGGAGAAGAAGCAGAAAACTGTGATGATCTGGCTCTTGCCCTGAGTAGAGGACTGCAGCTGGATACACAGAGGAGTAGTCGGGATTCCCTGCAGTGCTCCAGTGGATACAGCACACAAACCACTACCCCATGCTGTTCTGAAGACACCATCCCATCTCAAGGTAGGGAACACAATAGCACATATACTAAAACAGAGGTGTCAAACTCAGTTCTTATCGTGGGCCGCATCTTTATTATGGTTGCCCTCAAAGGGCTGGTTGTATCTGTAAGACTTGGTATCCACAGCACCCCACCCACCTTACATCAGATGTCATGACCCCCCCCCCTTCTCCTTATACTGCTGGGGGTGGGAATGAGAGGCGGAGCTGGAAAGCAGAAAGTGCAGGGTCTGGCGGAAGCCCAGAGGGAGTGATGAAGTCAAAGTCTAGTCTGTTTGGTGCTGAGATCGGGGAAGGCAGAGACAAGGGGGGTGCTGCAGCTCCACAGAGAGGCGCAAGGTCTATAGGAGGAGTTTCGTCCTCTTTTCTGAGGACGACTGCTTAGACAAAGTCGGGGGTTCTGCAGGAGAGGTGCAAGGGCCACATGAATGGCCTGCTGGGCCACACTGGGCCCATGGACCTTGAGTTTGGCACGCGTGTTCTAAAACGTCACGGATGAAAACTGTTACGCACAGCCAGTAGTTAGAATCAGAGTTAGCTTCTGATTCCATCTGTAAGTTGCTATATTAAAGTGAGACAGTCTTAACCAGGTTTATGCAAGAATCTGAATATTCAGTACTAAATTGGCAGAATTGTGAAGGCTTAATGCTGCAGATTTTTTATGTATGTAGCCTTACTTTGCTTGAGCCTGATTCTTTGCTTGTATCCGGGCATTAGAAGTCATCACCAAAATTGAATTGGCTGTGAATGACATTTCTAATTCAAAGTAACCTTTCAGTAAGATAAAGACTGATGATGCAACTGACCCCAAGAGTAAAAGCAATCTCCAAGAGGTTCCTACAAGTACCTTGATTTATCTGCCAGTGAGTCCCAGAGGGGGGACAATTGATAGGCAGTTGTCTCCTGCTCCCTTACTGGATAAATCTCAGTCTGACCTTACTTTACTCCAATTTTTGTGTTACCCCATGACCCCTCACCACCGTGTCCCTTTTTTTTTTTCTTTCAATCAATCCTTTTATGCATACCCTTTTCCTATAATTTTCTGGGAGGTTTTTTTTTTCCATGTCCTTTAGGGCTCATGTACACTGCAGCTCCTCAACTGACGTTCAGGAGCTGTTGAGCATATTTTTCAGCAGCCCCTGAACTCTCCCTAATGTTTTCCTATGTCTCCATGTACACATCGTCGTTTACAGTCGTTTTTTTGAACACACCAAACTTGCGTTCAGGAGTAGATTTTACCAGCGTTTTCAAATGCCAAATGCTTGTAAACGCGGTTAACCACGTTTATAGGTGTTTGCGTTCAGAAGCGGTTTTTAACTGTTCCATGTCAAGATGCTGTCCAGAGCCTTTTTTTTCATGACCAAAATGCATGCAAAGCGTTTTCCACGTATTCAAATGGACCCGGTACACCAGTGCAGTCAGTTCCAGGTTTTGCGTGAAGCAAAAAATGGTAAAAGGTGCTGCATTATGCTCATGATGGGATCCATAGTGAATACAACCAGAAAAGATAGGTAATCTCAACACACACTGCTCTCTCTGCTTCTGCTCTCTCTATTCCTCTCAAAATGTCTGAAATAGTTAATTTTTTACGATTTTTCAGTGCATTCTGGGCATTTTGGAAGGTCTCCTGAGGTTATCTTTTAAAAACGCTTCTAAACGCTCATAAACGCAGTATGCAAACGTGGCTAAACGGATTTTTTTTTAGCTACGTTTTCCAGCAGTCATTTTCCATCGTTCACAAGAGTTTTCCAAACGCCCCGTGTACATGAGCCCTTATCTATAAATTGGCCAAAATCAGACAAAATTTTGCTTCCACAGGGTGGCGAAAATAAAATGTTACTTTGCACACCAGTAAATCTGCCACCATGTGTCTCTGCGCACTATTGAGATGTGTTGGCTTTCTCTGTAGAAGTTTAAATAATAAAAGCTGTCAGGACTGATGTTTAGCTGCCATTTAGATTTAAGATTTTCTTGCGTAATGGCAGTTGAAAATTAAAATTAAAATTTGTATGGAATCAGTGGGTCAGTATACTGTTCCAGTCGGGCTCACTGAGGTACATAAATGGCCTACACCTATAACAAGGGCATTATTCAGCTTTGGTCAGAGCTGGACAGTTTGTTTTTTTATCTACAAACCCTGCATAGGCATTTATTTCGCAAAGGTGAAGTAACCCCTTAAGTCTGGCCTGTCGTATACTGTAAGTCTATATGTCTCATTTATGAATGTTAAGGAAGAATTATGTTAGTTGTTTATTTTGTTCCTAGCAACTTTTTCTTTCTTATTGTCTGTCTGCAAGAATGAAAGGGAAATCCTGGCTGCATGTTATGGTGAAACAAAGTATTCAATACAGTATTTCAGTATGCATTTAGCACTCATACCTCCCTCTTGTTTTCTAGTTTCAGATTATGATTACTTCTCAGTGAGTGGAGATCAGGAGCAAGAGCAGCAAGATTTCGACAAGTCCTCCACCATCCCAAGAAACAGCGACATCAGTCAGTCATACCGCAGGATGTTTCAAGCCAAGCGCCCTGCGTCCACTGCAGGATTGCCAGCCAACTTTGCGCCTGTCATAGTCACTCCTGGTGTGGCCACCATCCGGAGGACACCATCCACCAAGCCATCAGTGAGACGCGGTACCATCGGAGGAGGTCCCATCCCGATAAAGACTCCAGTTATCCCAGTCAAAACCCCAACTGTCCCGGACGTTCCGGGTGGGCTTCCCAACAGTACCAGTGAAGAATCACCTGAGCAGAGTCCCGACTCGCCATCCATAACTGAAGGAGCCGTGCTGGGCGGTGACATACCCACATCTTTATGGAGTGGACAGGCTTCTGTAAACCCCCCGGTTCCGGGAACCCCTGGTGTTATTGCTGAAGAGCAAAGACCAGGTCGATCCGAAAATGAAGATGAAGAAGATGAACAGGATGGTCCTGTCATTCCTGAACCCACAGGCCAGCCAGACCCCGAGACAGGAGATACTGCTCTGACAGATGCACCACAGGGAGAAGATATGCTCAACGCAATTCGCCGCGGGGTCAAACTGAAGAGGACCACCACAAATGATCGCTCGGCTCCTCGGATCTCCTAGAGCAATCAAAGAACCAAGGAGAGTCTTCCGAGCCGGGTACAAGGAACTGCACCATGACACTTGTCTTTAATCCATTCCAGTCTACGATCGGAGGATTTTGTAGGAGCATACACAGGGTTGACAAACTCTTCAAGAAACAAATACTACAATAGTTCCAAAAACAGCAGCGTAGAAAAGACAACCTTAGTATCTGTTGGTGTTCCGATTGTAAATAGTGATTTTACTTCTGCACATAATTAATCCCTTTATGTTTTTTCCTGCTTTTCATTTCACAGATTCATTTTTATTTCCATAAAGTGCCAAAACCCATATTTTAGTTTCAAAGAAACCCATGTAAATTTTAAAAGCTTTGGACAGGATAAACAAAACAAAATAAAGCAAGAATAAGACAGTGTTCCTACGGAGGATGAAGGACTGGGGTTTGTGTTGCGCCTTTTCTTCTATTCTGTTTTGGACTTGTACAGATGGACATCGGATGACCCGTCTGCTTGGCAAGGGGCGGGTGCAGTTCATTGGAACAGCCATGGGGCTACTTTATGTGAGGTGTAGACCACCTTAGCATCAGAGCAACCTAACTTTTCCTATACATACACTACGGCTAAGGTTTTTTTTTTTTTTTATTATTTTAAATTCTTTTGTTTGTTGTTTTTTTTAAATGCTGATATTATAAATTATTAACAATTATGAGCAATATAAAAGTTTAAAAAAAAAGTTTTAGCATGTACTGGGGGATTTAGTGATAAACACTACCATTGTGACCCATGCTATCACTCACACATGTAATCTAGACGTTACCGCTTGCATCTACCATGGTCATAACTAAGCCATACAGTAATACAGCGTTCCAGATTTTTATGCTACTAGACCTCATCTTTTCAGTGGTAGTTTGTTAATCCCAGCATGCCACCTTAATTACCTAGTGTATTGCAGTGTAGCCAGGGTTAAAGTGTAACATGGTTTACCAACAGTAAAGACAGCCATTTTGTGTCTTAATTTGTGTTGGAGACCGTTTTGTCACTGAACAAATGCAATTTTGTCACTGTAGCCACTATGTCCTTGAACCAGTTTTGGCAGTCTTACCTCTGTATAGTCTATAGACTGTCCACAGTCTCACCTCTGTAGACTCAACCAGTGACATCACATCTAATGTCTATCACGGTACCTAACGAGGAACTGAACTCTGGAGCTGTGCCCAAAAAAAAGGCAAACAGAGGACAAATGACCAGTATTTCCTGTGGTCTCCTTGCATCTGATCGTTTCCCTTATTACTGACTTACCATGCCTTGTTCTACACTGTTTTGTGTGGAGGTGGCGATCTTGGTAAAGGCAGGGCTTTTCTTCCTTATTGAGCAGAACAGTAATGATATCACTAAACCTAACCCCCAAATCTCCTGAGACTAGCAGTCAGAGGCAGCAGTGCCTTAGATTTCACTCTGCAGATGCACAGCTATGAGGCAGCAAGTACAGGAGTGCCTAGGCACCCTCACATACCAGGAAGGGCATTTCTGTTTTTGAGGAATTCAAGACAAGAGGGACAATTAACATCTTTAGATGTTCTCTATAACATAGCAGATCTTAGCTTTTTCAGTTCAGGTCCAGTTTAATTAAGCTGAAAGTCTATATTCTCATTCTTTTTTCAACAAAATGGCTACACCACTGCTCACATAGACTAGTGCACTTTAAATCTCTACGTCCATTAAAAGGGATTTGTTTTTATTTCGATGTTAAATCCTCAAACCACTCTTGTGTTTGTGCTTCTCTCTTCTGTGTGCTCACTTTATTTCACTAATTAAATAAAGGGATAGTTATAACAAAGGTAATTATAATTCATAAAAAAGGCTAAGGCAATTATATAATTATATTTATGGTAGCAGGGAGTATATTAAAAAAAAAATTACATATGCACCACAGGACCTAGCTGGCTGGGTCTCATTTGAACCCCCCCAAATACGTTAATGTAGACGTTCGCTGCACTGTTAATATAAACATAGAGGTAAGTCATGTATAATCCAACCTTTTTTTTTTTTTGGCAAGTTAGAAACATGTAGCACAGAATTTTTTGCATATGCTGAAAGAAGGAACGTCAGTACTCGCTTTTAAAAACTAGAGTGAAGAAACCGGATCAAGCAGGCCAAGATGAAACCCGAAGGGTGGTAGGACTGCACAACTTATCCCATTCTAGTTTTTAAGGGACAAAATTCATTTTATGAAGTCCATTCTCACGAATGACTTTTTTTTTTTGTATTCTATGTAATGTATTTTAGGATTGTTCATAGATGGAAAAGAAAACTGTATAGATTTTGTTTTTCTTTCTTTTAAAATAGACGTGAATACTTAACACTGTCTTTTGCTGTGATACCCACTTTTAGAGGTCATAGGAAATCTGCAGAAATGGCTATTTGGAAACTCAAACTCTTATTTCCCAGATCAGATTAGTTATCACACAAGTATTGGTAATATAGAAATTTCAGGCTCAAGTGTCCGAAGGAAGCAACATATCAATTTCTCTATGGAGAATCTCATTTGTTATTACACATGAGAACCGTGTTTAAGGTCTACATTTATGTGGTGAAATTGAGTGGTTTTGTATTAGAAATTCAGTTGGTCTTACCAATGAAAAAAAACTGTATAGTAAAAGTATGTAATAAAATGAATGCTTCTGTAAGGGGACATAAGTATTATCAATCCCAGTGTAATTAAAGCTATCTACAGAGGCAGTACCCAGCATCAAAGGTGTGAGGTGACTCAAGATGGCAATCTTGTACTTGAATATTTGCAAAAGAAGTGCCAAGCAAAAATGGTATATTTTTACAAGAATATTTCTGATTTTATTAAAAATAAGCAGAAGAAAATATTTCAATCACTTTTTATAGCAAAGGAACTTTTTGTCTATTGTGCACTTGGCATGTACGGTAAGCAGGGCCGGTTCATGGGACCAAGGGCAGATATTGATTATAGGGCCCGCATGGACTAGAAGCCTAAGAAATTGAGCCAGACATTCTCAGCCAATATTTTATTGGAACCTTGGGTTTCCTTTAGAGGTTATTAGGGGTTAGCAGGGCTGAACCAGACTTTCCCAGCCAATATTTCAGTGGAACCTTAGGTTTCCTTAAGCAGTTACTAGTTGTTAGCAGGGCTGGTTTATGGGACCAAAGGCAGATGTAGATTATTGGGTTTTCATGGGATAGAAACCTGAGGAACTGAGGCAGACTTTCTCAATCAGGATTTTAATGGAACTTGGGGTTCCACTAGAGATTACTAGGGGTTTCCTGAGCTGTGGCTGCTTTGGAATTGCCCTGAAATCTGATGGTGCTTGCATAGTTCCAGGGCATTGCCATTTGGCAGAGCCAGCAGTATGACACCAATGGTCTACTTAGCTGGCTGTATGAGTAGCATTCTGACCACCAATGTAAGGGACATTGTTCCCAGTGACCACCATTGTAAGGGACATTATTCTCTCAGTGACCACCACTGTAAGGGACATTATTCTCAGTGACCACTGTACTGTCAGCGGAATTCTTCCCACTGACTTCAGAAGGGGATCTCCAATTATTTTAAAGATCCTCTGTGGAAAATGTAGAAAAATACTCAATTATGTCTTAAACTAACAAAATTACATTACTTTAAACTTAAGCCAGCCCTGCCTAATAAGTAATTTGAGGCTAACATTACAAACACAGTTTTACCTCGCAGACAACAATCAATTTACCTAAAAAAAAAAAACACAAAAAAAGTGCAAATGTTAGGGAAAGACAATAGATATGTATTCTTGCCCATCACTGATGCACCAAATGGCTACTGCCGTTTTTTATGGGATATACCAATGAATGCAGTCATTGGCCATCTATATCAACACTTAGAATATTTGAAGATCTTGGAATCACAAGTTAATACACTATTAAACTCCACATTTTTTCAACTAAGAGCATTGGCTCTTAAAATAACACACAAAGCCTATCAATAGAGCTTATGGACAGATTATGGAAATGTTTTTGTGAAAGAAGAAAACTGGCAGCCATTTGTTGGCCATGCCAGTGTAAGTCAACATTTTAGAACCTGTGGTTTACACAGATTCGTCTTTCTAGCGTTTCTTGAAAGTATCATTGGGCTGTAAAGGAGTTACTTATTTAGTCAGGATGATAGAAATATGTCCTCGAGTTCAACCAAAATGCAAACAAATTAATAAATTATACCTGAATCAATAGAGCCTAAACCTTCACTGGATGCAGGAAAAAAAAAGCAAAAACCCTTATGAAGAATAGTCCGGCTTACTCAAAGAGGCAAATCTTGATCCTCTGGCAATCAGATACTCCCTGCATCAACAATCTACAGTGTTATTTCTACAAATCTAGGCTGTTATATTTTATGCAATATAGCTAGCTATTAATATGGCCAATTATATTGCACTGCATAAAATGGCTGTGGATAAGTGTAATATGATATATTGTTCAATCTAGTGGATTCAGAATGGCTCCCTGCTTTCTGTTTAACACTGATTGGACAAAACCTGAAGGAAAACGTTCGTTTTTTGGGTTTTTTTTTTTTTGCCAGGTCCTGCTTTGTAATATAACTAAGTTACCTTTTGTTCACTGTGTCATGTCATTTTATTAGTCACATTATAATAAAGCAAGTGTTGACAATGCTTATATTCCATCCATCGTGCACAGTAACCACTCCAGAATCATTTTTTGTAAAAAGAAACCAATCTCCCCCACACAGAATGCTCTTTTATAGAGAAGGCATGTTCATACAAATACATATTTTTTCTAGAGCAATATCATTTGTTTAACCTATTAAAGTATATAAATATATTTAATGTCACCGACTACGCTCATTGGACAACAATGATTTTTGTCAATTAGCTGAAATGCAAAGTGAGTTGTCCATCCACCGAATTTGTTCGATGCCAAAATATTCATACCGTAAAGGTGCTAGTCTCAGAGAAAGATGTCTGCAAATTTCTTGTTGGCTGTTGTTAATGGCGTAAAGTAGTATGTGAA